AGGATTCCAGTGTGGTCATTCACCTGACCTCACCTCGGCAAAACGGAGAGCCGACGAGGTACACCCTTCGTGTATCTGGTGACCCGATGGCAAGTTCTCGTGGACTGGCAGGTGTAGGCATAGCACTAAGCATGAGGGCCGAACAAGCACTGCTAGAGTGGATCCCCGTCAACAGTCGTCTATGTGCTGTTCGGCTGAACGGCTACGACAGAACTCGGAAGGATAGGGACACACGTCGTTGCCTTTTCGTCGTTTCTGCCTACGCTCCCACTGACTGCAGCTCAGATGATGTGAAAGATGAATTTTACAGAAAGCTGTCCGAACTTCTTCAGAAAGCTAAACGCTCAGGCATAGTACTCGTAGCAGGTGATTTTAATGCTCAGATAGGCAGTTTTAAACCAAACAGAAAGGCATTTAGGTGGATATTTTAGTATTCCGACACAGCGAACAGACAATGGTGAGCGTCTGCTGCAGCTATGTTCAGACAATCGTTTATTTTTAGCAAACACAAATTTTAAGCATAAGGAGAGACATCGTCTAACATGGCGACCCCCTACACCCAACCAACGATGGACTCAAATAGACCATATTGCCATCAGTCATCGTTGGAGAGGGTCGGTAGAAGATTGTCGCTCATTCTGGAGTACCTGCTTGGACTCCGACCATGCCCTAATACGGGCACGCATCTGCTTGCGCCTCACTGGACGCAAAAAAGCCACATTAAAAAGACCCGTTAGAACTGATTTGAGTAACGAGAAAACCAAAAGTAGGTTCCAGGAACAACTGAGGTCACACTTAGGTAGTTGTGAAGACGAGGCTGACCCAGATGTTGCTTGGAAGGGCATACAGTCAGCTGTGGAAACAGCAGTGACATCTATTAGTGACTTAAACCACAGAGTTGCAAGGAACCAGTGGATTTCTTCAAGGTCTGTCACACTGATGGATTCTCGCAAACTCGTCCCATCAGGTCCTGAACATGATGAAGAGCGAAAACAAATCAGATCTAGGTTAAGAAAAAGTCTAAAGAACGACCGTGAGCAGTGGTGGGTAACGAAAGCAAAAGAGATGGAAAAGGCGGCGACTATAGGGAACACAAGACAGCTTTACAGACTAATAAAAGAAACTGGAATTAGTAAGTCAAGTGTAAGTGAGATTATTTCGGAAAAAGATGATACTCTCATCTGCTCCCAGTCCAGACGTTTAGAACGATGGGCGGAACATTTTAGAGAACCGTTCAGCTGGCCTTCAGCTACTCTACAACTACCCTCCATTCCCAGACAGTGTGAATGGAACATTGAAATAGGTCCCCCTACTCTTGCTGAAGTTCAAAAGGCTATAGTTAATCTGAAACGAGGAAGGGCAGCTGGTCCAGATGGATTGGCTCCAGAGGTCTTTAAGGATGGTGGTCCAATTTTAGCGATTAAGTTGACTAATATTTTAGCTAAGATCTGGGAATTAGACTTAATCCCATCTGACTGGTCGCAATCACTTATCGTCCCAATATATAAGAAAGGGTCAAAATCATCATGTGACAACCACAGAGGGATTAGCTTAACAAACATAGTTTCTAAAATACTGGCCTCGATAATTATCAAACGCCTAACTAAGACTCGTGAACTACAAACTCGAGAGAACCAAGCTGGCTTTAGACCTGGTCGTGGCTGCATCGACCACATATTCACCATTCGTCAGGTTCTAGAACACAGGCATACCTATCGGCGTCCGACGATGGTGGTCTTTCTTGACTTAAAAGCAGCATTTGACTCGGTAGACCGCGAGACTCTGTGGCAGTGTCTGTCATTGAAAGGCGTACCTCAGAAGTACATAAACCTTGTGAAGGCTCTTTACTCGAACACTACTAGTCGAGTCAGGGCTTATGGCGAACTGTCATCTACTTTTGCAACCTCAAGTGGTGTCCGTCAAGGCTGTCCACTTTCTCCATTTTTGTTTAACTTCATCATAGACCTATTGATGGAAATAACACTCTCGTCGACTGAATTCTCGGGCATTGATCTCCTTCCAGGAGGTCCACTTATCGACTTAGAATACGCAGATGACATAGTCCTGTTTGGTGAAGACGCTGAGAAAATGCAGAGTCTTCTGGTAGCACTAAGCAACAATGCCAGAATGTTTGGGATGCGTTTCTCTCCCTCTAAATGCAAGTTGTTGCTTCAGGACTGGTCTGCGTCAACACCTGAACTAAGGATAGGGAGTGAAGTAGTCGAACGCGTTGATAACTTCACTTATCTTGGAAGTCTGATCAGCCCTAATGGGTTGGTATCGGACGAAATCTCAGCACGGATTCGAAAAGCTCGTTTGGCTTTTGCCAACTTGCGTCACCTTTGGCGAAGGCGAGATATCCGTCTATCAATAAAAGGACGAGTATACTGCGCGGCAGTTCGTTCTTTTTTAATTTACGGCAGCGAAACATGGCCCTTAAGAGTAGAAGACACCCGTAAGCTACTAGTATTTGACCACAGATGCCTTAGAAATATTGCTGGCATCTGCTGGGATCACCGGGTAAGTAATAGTGAGGTTAGACGCAGGGTATTAGGGAATGATGGTAAATCAGTTGATGAGGTTATGAATCTTCATCGACTGAGATGGTTGGGCCACGTATTACGTATGCCTGAACACCGATTACCACGACGTGCAATGCTAACCGGGGTAGGGGATGGTTGGAAGAAAGTTAGGGGCGGCCAAACCAAAACGTGGCATCAGTGCCTGAAGTCACTAACTTCTAGTCTGAGCCACGTTTGGTATATGCAGACTACTTGGCTGGGGGTCCGCGTGACTTTCGTAACCAATGGTTGGAGACTCTTGGTGACATGGCTCAGAATCGATCACAGTGGCGTCGGTGTATACACTCCCTGTCTTCCCTTAAACTAAGAGACTAAAATCACTTCATTCTTTCTGTCTACGAACTAATTCTTTCTTCCTATACTATATCCTTATTGCAACCTTTGACCTAACCACTCCTATGAATCCGGTGTTCATCTTGCTGTGCTAATGAGGTATGGCAACCTGGACCGATGCACATATGTGCCTGGTCCTACGTTGTAGCTGACTGAGTAGCTTACGGGTATCTTCCAATCTTAATAGCCACGTTTCGCAGCCGTTAAGTAAAACAGAACAAACTGCCACACAGTATACTCGTCCTTTTATTGATAGACGGATATCTCGCATTTGCCATAGGTGACGTAGGTTGGAAAAAGTCAAACGAGCTTTCTGAATCCGTGCAGAGATTTTGTCAGACGCCAACCCAACATGGCTGATAAGACTTCCAAGAGAAGTGAAGTTGTCGATGCGTTCGACTACTTCACTCCCTATCCTTAGTTTAGATGTTGACACAGGCCAGTCATGGAGCAACAACTTGCATTTAGAGGAGGAGAAACGCATCCCAAACATTCTGACATTGTTGTTGAGTGCTACCAAAAGACTGACTCCCTAACCCTTCTCTTTTTTCCGGGTTTGAACCAGCAGTAATCCTAAGAAAGTGTCAAGAGTTCCACCTATTAATGCTAAACTGAAACTAGTAAACATAGCTCACTAAAATCGCCTATTTCTTGCTCCATGTAAATATACAGTTTGATGAAACGCAGATTATTGTCTAAATTGCACTTACTTTGTTAAATAAACAGAGGAAATGTGAATAATTTCACGCCAGAGAAAGCTGGAAATATTCTACTTAGTGATTAATGACCTACTTTCCTTAGTGGAAATTAGACTGACCTCATTTACGTTAGCTTCTTTGATAATCACAAATAGATGACTGATACCATACCCAATTTACTTTTGTTCACATCCACCGTTAATAGTCATTGCAAAGTTAGTACTTTAGTTCAAAACCAGTTGAACTTGTTAAAGGAAATAGCACAAAAATTTACTACGTTCCAAACTTTATTTCGATACTTCGGTCCTAATCAAGGACATCACGGCAAAGTAAATGCGACGCCAATTTACATTAAAATAAATGTTCTTGTCACACCTCAGTGTTTATTGAGCTAGTTCCTTAAGTTTATTCAGAACAGTTACATCAAACTGGATACAGAAAAATCTTTGAAAAAAATATGAGTACGATCGAAACAACACATAGATAGGTTCCAAGTATATGTGCCCGAAAAGTCTCATCTATCACTGGACCAGCAGGAAACAGACCCAAAATCCGCTCCACTTGATTTGGATAAGATTTATAGATAATATTTAACTGCCCAGTGTGTGGCTTAAACGCAAGTGCACAAACCTGGTAAATGATACGCAACTTCCCAGAAATATAACAATGCCATGGATGACTAGGTTATATCAAAAATAATAATAATGATAATAAGATTAAAACAGCTATGTGCTGTTGTCCCAACATGAACGTTTTCTATTGACAAGTTTTTGGTTCCCGAATTTAACACTAATCTACAATCAATAGCAAGACTGAAGTATTTTACCTTACTTTAATTAGTGGTCACTTTAAAGAAACAATGAAACAGTTGATCACAAAAAAACTTACCGAAGGCAATTCAAATGCATGTGTACACTGGACTGAGTTACTGTATTGAAAACTATTTGCATTTGTTTCATAAGCTGTACAGAAAGGAACGTGTACCGTAGAATCCGGATAGCTGTTTGACTGCTTTAAACGAAAATCGCAGTTTTGATCAGGAATTAAATACGCGGAAACATAGGTATTACCTTGTGTGACCAACGAGTCTGGAAAGCTGGAGACGAATATACTATCATGCTGTTCACTTTCATAACCGTTTGGATCACAATCTGGATAAACTATGGCGCTACTAAATCCTTCGAAAAAAGAATTATAGTAAGATGGTTTAGAATGGTCGTAGGAAGTATAACTATGACCGTCCGTGGGAAAGAAATCACAGACTGGATATTCAAAAGTCTGATCAAGTAGTTCATCGGAGCTTGAAAGGCCTTGGTATACAGTAAAACCATTCACGTAACTTTCTCCACTGGCTCCGTGTGGTTCCACGGTATGAATACATAGAGATGAGTTCATGGAAAAATTGGGAGCACCTTTGAAGTAGTGAGAATTATAGGAATAGCTTTCACTAGAAGAGTTTGGCCACGACATTGTGTTGTCTTTTGACTCACTGGTGAAAACGCATACACGAACTAAATCTGAAGTTACTTCCAACTCTGATGAAAAGGTTTGGGCTGTGTTATCGACATACATATGGTCCTGCTGAGAACTCTGTCCATTATCAGTAGTGTTTTCTTCCTGGAAGCTGTAAGATGGTTGTGAAGCTCCGGGGATGTCTGAATGAGGTGGAAGGGTGACATAAAGATGACTTTCTAAAATACTATCTGCTTTATAATTCGGGTGCACATTAGACATGAGGTTTGAATCCTGGGGAATTTCCGTCATAACATCAAGAGGTGCATGTACAGCTTCCTCAGCTAGCCATTACAAATTCTGACTTACAATATCGCCATAATTATCTGGTTTAATCTGATCTGTATAACGACACAACTTACTAGGAAACGATGCTGGTACGTAAACATCAATATGCAATGAATATTCTGGAACTGTTTGAAAGTCGTCTGATAAATTGCTTGCACATGTTTCGGTCTCAGAAACCTCAAAAGTGACGAAAGAATTACCAACAGCTTCCGAATTAGAGATGCGACTACTTTTACCTTCATGGTCAAAGGCACCAATTGAGTCCAATCCATTAGGACAATTAAGTTCTGAGAGAGAATTCGGAGCTGAATCTGTGTAAACAGTTAAAAGTTTGTGTTAGGATTTGACACAAAATGTAGAATCAGAAATGGGCATTCAAAATCGTTAAACTAGACAGTTATGGGACAATTTCTACACGTATGTAGTGGTCCTAAATGATAAAAAGAGACATTATGAGATGTTAATGAACTTTTCAAACATTTATCTGCGTAATATGTAACGCAGACAAAATTATTAGAAAACAAACGCAAATGTTTAGTGTGAAACTCAAATGCATCCCTACATTACGTTCTAATTTGTACTAGAAAAGACAATAAACAAACCTTCAGTTCCTTACGGCAACAAAGTTATGAACTAAACAAATATTTCGCAGTCATGCATCCACCAACCTGAGGGCTACATAGAATCAGTACGAACAATCATTATTGCAATCAAACAACTTATTATCACTCAATTAGTTTCTAAAAACTTGAAACAAATATCCTTTTGAAAGCTAACAAATCTATCATGCCCAAGTTAACGCACGACAATAACAGGTTCAGAAACATATAGATACGTACTAAAAGTAAACAAGCGTTGCCTTATTCGGTCAATTGTCTGCAGCTATTGTCGTCTAAAAACACATCCTAACACCTCAATACAAGCGGATATTCGGGTTACAAATCAATATGAAAATCATCTTATAATGTCAAAGTCCTGGATTTAGACGAAAGTTCAAATGGTTGTGGACAGAATAGAAGAAGCTTTCGCTTAACAGGCTTCCGTGTCTAGTAGCAGGGGATCACCAAATCCTCCAGGCAGGAACCTAGGTATGTTAACAATAAAAGAGGAAAAGAAATTAGTAAATCATAGTGTGATACTATCCTTAATCCTTAAGAATAGATCAAGTTGCCTCTTAAAGGACTCCTGAGAAGTCGCTTGGACTAGCTCGGCCGGCAGCGAATTCCAGCATTTGACAACTCTTAAGGAGTAGAAGTTGTGTCTACAGTCCGTTCTACCATATTGTGTTTCCAGTTTTTGGGTGTTACCTCTTAGGTTAGTGTTCGAACTAAGCTTAAGTAGGTGTTTGAGAGGATGTCCAGAAGTGTTAAGGATGCTATAAGCCACCAGGTCACCTCGAAGACGTCTATACTCTAATGGGTAAAGGTTAAGTGAATGGAGGCGCTCTTCGTAAGGTTTAAATTTGAGTCCTCGGACTGATTTCGTGGCTCGCCGTTGGATACACTCCAGGGTGTCCTTATCCTTTTGGAGTGAGGGGGAAATACTATGTTTCCGTACTCTAAATGGGGACGGATAAAACTATTGAAGATTATATTAAAAGTTCTTCCGTCAAACTGACCAGAATGCGCTGCAGTGTTATCAGTGCAAGGCATTTTTGTCACAGTTAGCGTAAGACTTTGAATCGTAGGGCACCAGGACTCCTAGATCTTTTTCGACTCGGAATATTACTAAAGAGGAGTTTCTTAAGTTATAACTGTAGTCTGCAACATGTCGCAGATGGACTACTTTACACTTCGAAGCCGAGTCAGATCCTCCTGAAGTGCCTGTATATCGTCTTGGTTGCGTATCTCTCTCCAATTTTTTACGTCGTCGGCAAAAAGTAATAAGTCTGACGTTATCTGTTGAGGAAGATCATTTATGTAGATCAAGAAGAGCCCTAGGGGACCCCACTAGGACATTCCATAGCCTGAGATAAAGTGAAATTAACCCCGACCTTAAAGGGTAGATTTTTCAGGTATGAAGTGAGGCAATCGATTAGAGGTGGTCTGATACCCAATCGTTTGAGCTTGTTGATAAGACATGTATGGTTAACCTTATCAAAATCTTTTGAGAAATCTAGGTAGATGATATCAACCTTCCCCTGCTTGACAATCTGTCCACCGCAGTCAGCAGGTTGGTAATACAAGAGTAACCCTTCCTGAAACCATGCTGTTGGGGTGAGAAGAAATTTAAGGACAGTAAATAGTCATTTATACCATCGCATATTAGGGACTCTGTGATTTTTGAAGGTACTGAGAGAAGAGCCATCGGTCAGTAACTTGAAGGTTCGCTGCGTCGACCTCCTTTGAAAATTGGTGTGATGTGAGCCAGCTTCCATTTTTCCGGTAGTTTTCCTCGACTTAGCGAGTGTGAGAACATCACGCTAAGCGGTGTGCAGTTTCCGGAACACCAAGTCAGCGCTCAAGTTCACTTCGGAAAGTCCTGTTGAATTGCAGATGAAACCGTCATCAGTAAAGTTGATGTCGGTCGGTTGAAATATCTGGTAGCGTTCAGCCAGAAGGTTGGCGGCGTCGCCATCGTTGTTGGTCGGGCCATTAGGACCTAGCAGTTGAAAACTCCAGTTTTGGCTTGACGAAGAGAGGCTGCATAACGAAATAAGCTTTTCAGATTAGAGACAAATTTATTCATAAGCTTTATCTGGTACTGAAGCCTATCTTTTCTTATAGCCTTCGTGCATATGTTCCTTATATGTTTGTATTGCCTGTACGCTCCGTCATTGTCAGTTCGTTTTTATTCCGCCCAACAGTGCCTTTTGCGGCTTAGCAGACAAAGGGTACGGTTCTTGATTATTGTAGGTTGCTCTCAGCTTTTCGGAACCGTTTGAGGAACTGAATGGTTTGTAGCACGTAAGAGCATGTGCAGTAAGAAGTCCCAATGACCGTCCACATCGAGTTGGGGGTGAACATCCCAAACCACCTGTTGTAGATAGTGGATGTGATAGCTGAAAAAGTTCCCTGTCTAAAATCAATGTATATTCGCTACATTGCCTTCACACTATGGTATCTCTGATATTAATCACTTAACATAACGTACTTTGACACCTCAGTGTTTTGTGGTATAATCCGAACTTGGCTAAGCATCAGTCCAAGGTCGTCTGTATGCTTGACCGCCAGCCTTGGATAACAATACGGAGCCAAGACTACTCAAACTGGAATTGACATTTGATCATGGCACGGTAAATGTGTCGTAGTTTTAAGGTCATGCCTCACTGTTACCCCAACATCATTGCTAGACCGAACCACGGGAACTGACTTTTTCACTATACTGCGCTGATTTAACTTTTTATCCCTAACGTTTACGTAGATACACCTGTCCACGTTGATAAGCATAAGCCATTTTTTAAGAACAGCTAATCAAAACATCTGAGCCCATTTAAATTGCATGTGCTTCTGTGCCTCCTGTAGTATTCCGCAAATTTTTTCACATATTAGCATAGAATAGCGTAAGGGAACCCATTTACATACAGATTAAGACGTAAAATGCCAATGACAGAATTTTGGCGTACTCCACTAAGTACTGGTTTCTAGGAGGAACAATCGTATTTTTCTGTTGATATCTGACCACGGCCTACTAAGAAATTCACTTTAGGAGAGGTTCAGCTATTACTATATTTTCCAGCTTCATGAGAAGTCTGTTAATGGGCACCATATCAAGTGCTCTGATGAAGTTTATATGAACAACATTAATTTATTTTCCATCATCTAGAGACTCTGTCTATGTCGCTCTTGTTGGGCAGGACTGAAGCGCGTTTTCATATACTTTGACTTATTCACTTATCACCAGATCATACTGAAAATGCAGCTGTAGATTATAGTAATCTCAGTATAACTTTTACTCGATATCTACTAAGAACATTTGTTTACTTAGGTGAGATGAAAATGAAAACTTCGTTTGGGGAAATTTATTCAAATTAAGAAAGCAAAGTGTCTATGTTGCTCATCAATAAGATTGGTGCTAGGAGTATAGCTGAGTAATGATTCTTCGAAGTAACCGATGTTCAGTAAATTAGATAAGAATTTGTGGTTAAAAACTTACATATCTAACCGGTAATATGCTAATTTGGTGGCGGTGGTCTAATCTGCCTGTAGTAAGTCGTTATGACGAAGACACAAGAACTGTGAATTCAACTAGCTCAATCGAAGTTTGGATGCTTCTCATCTAAAGTGACTCGTTTCTGTTGTTGGAGGTCTAAAAGCAGTTTGCCAATCATTTTATAAAGCGCTTGGAATAATCGTAAACATTTGTGCTGGAGCATATGAAAAAGGTTAAGAGACTTGTCCCTTTGCTTTATATTGGTCAGGAATTATAATAAACAAAATTTCTTGTACTACCAATGGCTTTACCATCGAATCCATTTGGGAAAATTTTGATAAGACTGAAATGTTTGATGGAGTCGTGCGGCTAATGTGAGGTTTTATACATCGTTTTTTGAAAATACGAAAGTCCGACTAAACTATACTATCCATCGATGTTACAGGCTTATCTACTGCAGCAAGTTCACGAGATTTATTCCGTTATAAATGTGTGCTTAAAAACAATAACAATGGAAAAACAAATTTAATTCCATTTTGATCAAGAATAGTTTTGATATTCAAATGCGTGGGAAGTGCCAACATCCCTGAAAGATTGACATACATGGATCATGCTAGTTGTCGTTCAAGACTAGCATCTATCGGTCTATTACCATTCTATAGGTTGGGGTCCAATATGTCGTTTTTTCATCATAGTCTTCACATTAATGCAATGAGCTTTCGTAATTCAAGGTCTTCCTTATCTTAATAATATTAACACTATTCGAATTGTATTTTTGGTGCTCGATTGTACTGCATTTATGTTCATCAAATAAATAAAAATAATTAAACTACCTATGGTCGAAACCAATCTGTAAAGACTATCTGATGACTACCGTAACGAATAGCCCACATCTACCTATCTGTTTCTTCTTCTTGTAACCCCTCTTACCCCTCTCAGAGGATAGTCTACTGATCAGGAATCACTAACACAACTTTGTCCTGGGTTCTCCTTTCCAGTTGTTGCCAAGTACTATTCATTCTGATGTCTGTCTAGGGTTTCCAGCCCCATGTGTTTTCCCTTTGGTTTCCCTCTTTTCCTTTTGCCTTTGAGACTCCAAGTTGTGGTAGTTCCCCAAGTTTTAGCTCCGTATAACCCCGAACGTAGCTGCTACCTTGACGCGGTGGTCGGGCTTGCCTATCGTGATGACCCAACCGAGCTATATTGGCTGGAACATATG